TTGTGGACGGATCGATCATTTGTATAGAAATTGTAATATGAAGCGTCCTGGGCCCAACATGCAAAGTAAATTTGGAAGTCGAAAAGACACTGGAGGCGTGTGTCTGAGGTAATCGTCAACGTCGGTCGAAGATATAGCTGATGCACAACGGAAGGATCCAAGTCTTGAGAAGTTGTGTACTTATGTTGGGGATGAAAAAGAAAGACTAACAGGTAAGGGAAATGTTTCAAAATTTAAAAGAAATACGACTTTTGTTTTTATTCTACTGGAAAGTCAGGTACCTGTTGATCAATTGGTGGTTCCATCGTCGTACCGTACCAATGTAATGAATAAGGTGATTTTAGGTGATTTTTTAACTACCTCCAAGTGATTGTTTTTTCTTCGGGGCGACATGAGAAGAGAGAGCTTTTGGAGGGGTGTGCGCAGCACCCTAGATACGCCACTGATGTACAGTACTCACTCTGGCTGTACAGCGTTTTTTTTTTGGTTGGTAAAGGCTGGGTCATTTATACAGTTCATTTCAACAACTTTCAAGCATCATCTTTACTTATGAAATTACATTGCAGTCGAAAAGTGGGGTAGTGTCTCCGCCCCATGATCTGCGCCCATGGTTCTGCAAAGCCGTGTGGTGTACAGAGAAAAGAGTTGCGTAACTAGCTTTGGTGGTGATGGGCGGGTGGGCGTGCCGTTGATACATTATACACTTTATAAATTTTATGAATTTTGTCTCAATAAAATGCACATAAAACAACAACCGGTTGTATAATAGGCATAGGCGTAGATCCAGGGGGGGGGGATGGGGATATATCCCCCAATATTTGACAAGGGGGATGGTCCATTGTATCATCCCCCCCAATATTTTGACTATGTATGGGATAAAATGGAGCTTTACACACTTCAAAAGACTGTCACAGAAATAATTTACACTGTCTTATGCGCTTACAAAGATGAAAATTAGCATAATGTATTAATGTTGATAACAACATTTTTTTATCTGGTACCAATCTAAGTTCTTCTTTCCTTAGATGT